CACACCTGTGGAACCCGCCGAGCCGCCGGTGTAGTGGACTGAGGACGGGAATTATGTTATGAAAATTCAAATGCAGAAAACTTGCCGTCATCGAAGAATCCATTCACCTCAGCCCTACAGAACATAGTCGCGCGCGAATTGTTGACGTCAATTTTGTATTCAGATGACCCGGACGCAACGGCAGAATGCTAAGGAATGTTTCCCTTGGCCTATGTAGTTAGTTACTCGACATCACAACGCGTCACTATAGAAGGAGTCTCGGGGGGTTGAGCGTCACCCTTAAGTAATGTATGAGCCACTGCGCTGCGCCTGTGAATTACCTGCAACTTTTTTTACTTCACCGATACCCCAAAGTTGCCCATTGAATAATCAAAACAGCCCGAGTTCAACACCCTTGTCACCATTACTCTACTGCAAGCCCCTTGGGCGAAACACATTCAATATGTCAAAGAAATACCCTGCCCCCGACGCGCCAGTAGTCCGGATAATTGTGTTGGAGACGGACAACCCCCATCCTGACACCCATGCAGCGAAGGGGAGCTTTGGAGAAATTCTGCATACACACTTCCAGCATGCCGGCGCTGAACACGACCCTCCGTTGGGAGTCGATACAGATCAGAAGTTCGTGGTAGAGGAAAAGGGAGGTACAGTCCCATCATTTGAAGATTTCGACAGCTATCAAGGTGTCTTGATCACCGGAAGCATGTATGATGCACACGGAGATAATCCCTGGATTCTCAAACTCCTCGGAGTTTTACAAGGTTCGTCACCACTCAAGCCACTGATACCCTTTACAGACACCCGCAACCAGCGGTACTGACTCCGGGCAACAGAACTCTGGGAGCGCCGGCCGGATCTCCACTTGAGCGGCGTGTGCTTCGGCCACCAGCTTCTCAACCGGATGCTCGGCGCCGAAGTCGCACCAGCGCCATCAGAAGACTGGGAGTTAGGCCACTGTCGGATCGACCTTTCCCCGGTGGGTAAGCAACTGTTTAAGACAGAAGACAATCATGTGCATCTTCACCAAATGCACCAAGACCAAGTCGTCGCGCCACCTACCACCGAGAGCTCCAAGGGCCTATTGAAGCCGAGCGACAAGGTGGATGTGTGGGGTCACAGTGAGCACACCAAGGTGCAGGGCGTCTACATCAAGGGCCGGCTCTTCACATCACAGGCGCATTTGGCGTTTGATGAGGATATGGTAAAAAGGCAGATCCAAATGAGGATTGACAGTGGCGGTATTCAGGATATGGAACATGCGGACCAGGCGGCGGAGACTGCGCATTGGGAACACGATGGTGACCTGGTCGCAGCGGCTATTCTAAGGTTCTTCCACGGAGACGATGATGAGATAGAGTGATGGGTGGTAGGAATGGTGTTGTAGTAACGGCTGCCCAGTTGTGGAGAAACTTACTTGTCAATCCTGAAGCTAGCTCAGCTGTCATGTCTGAGTAGAGACCCAGTCCACACCACAATGTGTGTGGCCAAATTTGAGGACGGATAAAGATATCCGATGTTGTTTCATTACCACGATGACATGGTTCAATATGAAGAAGTTCAACATATTGCTTTGTCGCCTCTCCTCTCCCTTGGTATCGAGTCGCATGAATTCTTGGCGTGGTTGGCTGGAGCGAGGCACCCTCGCTGACCTTCCCTTAAGGTCTACAAGAAGACGATCCCACCGGTACTCTTGAGACTTATGTGGTGATTATGCTCGTGAGGACGAATCACTCACGTACTTAATCTCATAGGCACTTCATGCAGCGTTCCATTCATGCTACCTTAAATTCCATTCTCTGCCACCATTGCTGTTGGTCAGCGGCAACATCCATCGCGTATCACTGCATCAGTCAGCTTTGAGTGCGGGATTCGTATGATGATTGCAGGGCTCTAAATATAGCATATTATTGGATGGCTGCAGAAAGAAGACCCCGGGGAAGTGAATTCTGTCAGTCACATAAGAAGCAAGACTTCCTTTCCCAATCTCGAATGATGAGTCTTGCATTTAAGGTCCGCCTTTTGCAAAATACTTTCTGCTAATCTCACCGCCTCAAAAGATGTCTTCAGCGTCCAATTTTCCAGGAGTCGGGACGCATCTTGTTTACAGAAAGCCGCCGCCAACATCAGAGTTTCTCAACACGCCAACCAATCTTTATTCCGATGCTGAGAATTACAGAGATAAGCGCGAAGTTTTTGTTCGTAACATTCGCGCCGAGATGAATCAGTTCACTACCGCGAGTGATGGCTTGGAGTTCGTGAAGCATAGGGTTGATGTTAAAGACTGGTCTGACGAGGATGAGGTTCGCGAGGTGATACTTCGAGACACCCAAGAGCTTCTCAAGAAACAGTAATATGACTTTCCCTTATCTCATGTTATCTAAAACTTTGTGATTAGGCGAATAACTAGTCAAATCTACGAATAGTTTCAACGCCAACAAGACATTCACCACTGTCTCAAGAATTCGACACTCTGATACAAGTGGAATCAGGAAAGACACCACGCCGGTTTACTCTATTCACGGCGACTTGACTGTTCGAAGTGGCCTTGAGCTCCTGGAAGATACTATTCCCAAAATGGATCACCCGCCCAAATCTATGCCTCCTAAGGGCCGAGTTCTCATGGTCAACGTATGGAGGCCTCTGAAGACAATCAAACGCGACCCGATTGCCTTTCTAGTGCCCAAAAGCATTAGATCTCAGGAACGACATGCACAGATCTTCTCACGACCTGAAGGAAAATTCAAAGTCTTTGGCAAGGACGCTCAAGACTTCTGGCTGGATACAGCTTCCTACAGCGAGGACCATGATTGGGTGTTTCTGGACCATCAGCAACCAGATGAGCCTGTCCTGTTTCTTCAATGGGACAGTGCATCATTGGAGAGTTTCGAGTCGAGGATGGCTGTGTTTCATAGTTCTTTTGAGGATTCTAGATATATGGACGAGGCGGAACGAGCGAGCATCGAGCTCAAGTGTCTTGTTTTCTTGGACAAGTGAATGAGTGGTGGCCATGGAGGCGGAAGATCACGCATCACGCATCATCTCAGTCTAGGTAGCTCAGTTAATCAACGAGGACTGATTCAATGTGGATACTAGTTAGTCTTCCTATCCAAATGCTAGACTTGCTAATTCTGACGAAGCCCCTCTGATAGTTTGACAGAAACCACTGAGCATGGCATAAGAACTACAAGAGCAAATAGCTTGGGCTTTTTTCTTGCATTCTTTCTCCATGCATCGTTACTACAATACTCAGCTGTGATCCCATTGCTTATTATAGTTTACTTGAGCTTATCTTGGCCTTACTCGGATCTGACCACAATCTTCCCTGTGTCTCGCCTCTATCTAAGGCATCAAGCCCCGCCGGAATCTCCGCAAAAGGAATCTCTGTTAACTCTGGCTCAATCGACTTATTTGCCAAAAGGTCGAAGACATCTCTCAAGTCCTGTTCACTCGCTCCAAACGATCCAATCAAACTTACACTACGGCCAATCAAAGCATAGCTAGGGATTGTGATCTCGGAACCTGCCAGTCCAACGACGACGACTTTGCCCCCTTCGCTCACCTTTTGAATGGCCTGCGTTGTGGTTGCCCCTGTGCCGGCGAAATCGACGATGACATCGAAATCCACATCCTGAGCATCTTCCAGGCTCTTGAAACACCCACTAGCACCGAGTCTCTTTGCCTCTTTGAACTTTGACTCGGATATGTCGATGCCGTACACTTTGGCCCCTTTGAGGACTCCAAAGCCGAGACCTGACATCCCAAGGCCACCGATACCAATCACGCCGATCGTCATACCAGGCTTCGCAGCGGCTTCGACTACCACAGCATGGTAGGATGTTGCCATCGCATCAGTCGCCACCGCAGCTTGAGAAAATGGGAGGCTGTCCGGGATGTGGACTAATCTTGCCACAGGTGCCAGCACGAATTCCCCGTAACCACCGTCGAATCCAAGACCAATAGCCATTGTCCAGTCCCGAAGCTTGATCGGATATGAGAAAAGCCCCACGGTAACACGTTCGCCGGTTTTGAATTCTTTCACATCAGGGCCGAGTGCTGTAATTATCCCAGAGACTTCGTGGCCGAGAGTAATGGGTCGCTGAACAACCCCATCGATGCCCTTCAATATGTGGCAGTCTGAATGGCACAGACCGGCTGCTTTGACTTGTAGCTGAACCCAGCCGGGGCCAGGCTGAGGAATCGGTAGATCTCGAAGTTGTAGGCCGCCGCCTTTCTCCATGTACTGAAAGGCTTGCATTTCGATAGACTTGTCGTCCAGGCTTATTCAAGTTGGCGCTCCTGAAACCTGGGGGTAGAGGTGAACCACGACTTTTGCCGAGACTTTATGCTTACAGGGCGGGGGCTTCACCCCGCATTTTGAATATTACCAGGCCGAATCCCGCCGGAGTGACTTTTAATACTCCCCGGGGTGGCACGTGTGACAAATCATGCAACATCAGATGCGACGACAGCCAAATCTACGCTACAGTTGAGCCAACGGCAGTCGTTCTACAGCGAGGTGTCGATACTGCTCCAGCGGAATCGGGTCCCGAAGTTGATACCGAGAGCTCGGCCGGCGCGACTGTGGTTGCCAACGGCTTTTCGCGGACATGCGGACACCGTGGCCGAGGCACAGGCATGTCGGACAATCCCCACTTGATCAACGTGGTTCGGGCGATGCCCACTTAGTTCAATGTCTTACATGGTGGTAAAGTAAAGCCTGACTCTTACCAGCGAGTAAGCATCCTGAACAGCATCACCATGCAGTGCCTACAGGGTTCGAGGCGGTCTTCTCGGACGCGCCATGGACACCGATCAGAGACATGAATAGGCGCAAACTTCTGAACATAAAGAAAGTCGAGAAATGCTTTATGTTATCGTTGCCCACTGGCTTTGATGTTGATAATTGCAGCATAGCAATACCTATCACCTCACACAATCAAAGTTGACGATCAGTAGAAATGCGTTTTGGTGCGCTACCTTTCGGAGCGGAATCGGTCCCCATGTTTTTACCCCCATACCCGAAACCTCCAGACCCATACAGCTTCGCAATCGATATGATGCTGGGCTATACCTACCGCGTCGCCGCATCTCTAGTTCGCCATCTGGTCCCAAATATGCTAGAGCTCGAGGATGAGCCTCTCATGTCAACCATAGTGCTCGACTACGGAATGAGTTCTGTGGGGGCGTACAAGTAGTTTGTCCACCAAGTCGAGGTGACTTATAAGAACGAGAAGTTCATGTACAGTCTCATCTTGATCCTCGACAACGAGGCAGCCATATTTGCAGGACGTGAGCAGTACGGCTTTCCCAAAGTCTTTGGCAAGGCCGATATTCAGACGACAAACGGTACCCGGCTGGTTCTGGCAAATGCGCAGAGGCCGGCAGGACGAACTCTTTTCGAGTGCGAATTCATCCCCGATCATCGTATTCCCAGTTTGCGTGCCGCAGACAAATGGGGGCTCAATCTTCGTAGTATTCCACAGCCGTGTGTGGGAACATCACCGGCGATTCAAGAGCTGATTCCTACGATCATGGACTGGAAATTTCGCGAGATCTGGGCTGGCCATGGTCACATTACTTTTCCGCGCCGCTCTGCATTTGATAGCTATGACCCATAACGGAGGAGTTGGTAACTAAGTGGGTTCGTGAATGATTGGCTGTGTCATGAAGTTGAAATCGAATTTCGTCGTCCGATTATTTCAAAGACCTTCTCATCAATAACCAAAGTTGAATTTCTATGGTCGCTTCGTATGGCTATCTGAAGGTAGACTTTCTGTACCGTTCGAACTCGACACTTGCGCAGTCATTGACGATGTCAGACCATGCAGACCTGTGGATATTTTTCTGGAGTTCTATCAAGTCAACCGGAGCGGGGGGTGAAATTAGGTGTGGTCCTTGCGGATTGTCAGGCCCCTCACGATGGGATGCAACGCCAGAGAAATTGCGATCGCATATGATCAAGGATCTCCGTCTTGTAAAGTTCCCAGCACGTATCGATAAGGGGACACCGTTTGCATTTCGGACCCAGTAAGCAACCAGGGGTCTAGTGGACGTAATCCGAGCCTCCAGGTATTAGTCGCATCCGCAGTCTAAGGTCCGCAGGGTTGGTCCAACACACTTCGTGAACAACAACTTCCTTCGCACAAGGATTACTTCAGGCCTCGCCACACTGGCGCATTTTCATACCGGGTGTGATGCTTCTTCAGTTTTCTTACCAGGCCACACAGCATTTGTCCCTCGACCAATGAAACTACCTGGTCTCGGACCACATTTCCGAATGGGTAAAAAGATGCAGAAGCGAACGAAGTGAAGAATCCTTCTTGTATCCATTAGCCGGCATGGGGTTACAATCAGGAACATTATGGCGTTTGAAGAGCCGAGATTTCCAACAGCTCAAGAGGCACGCTTTGCGGGACATGGACCTCCTGCTGTAATGAGCGATTAACATTTGTGCCAACATGCCAAATCATTGGCACGATAATCAGAAGAGACAGATCACCAAGTATAAAATTGCTGTTTATGGAGAGCTAGAGTACATGACTGTAGTTACAGTGGTCTTCTTGATACCCCGCCCATCGGTCAAGCTGTCCCGCAGCCCGACCTTGTCCTCACTCGTATCACTGTCATCGCCCCCGGTCCCAGCCGCGACGGTCGTGGTTCCCACAGGCCGAGTGGCGTATGTCTCCAACTCGTAATCGTTCCCCGTTCTGTCCATGTGGTTCCTGGGAAACTTCTCGCCTCTCTCTTCGCCCGGCTTGACTGGCCATTGGGTGTTTGACAGAGTCTGCCAGTTACTGCCGCTACGCAGCGTACCACGGCCATAGTATGCTCCTGCTGTGGGCGCCTTGGACCCCTTGCCGTAGATACTACCCAGGAAGTCCTTGAAGAGGGGTCGTAGAGTTGGCAGACTTCCAGCTATGATTCCAACATTAGCCTCGATGACGGTCCACATCTGAATATCTCGCGAGTCCCAGGTTGGATCGAAGGCCCTCCCATAACTTGTGACGATGTAGTAGACTTTAGCGCAAGCTGCTGCACATGCAAAGACTCCCAGACCGAGGACCATCATGAGAGATATTCGAACCCTTCGCGGGACGTTGAGCCCCCAAAGCATGGGCGCTGGAATAGCGATTCCAAAGAGAAGGTCGGTGAGGATATTAATCGACGAATTTGCATAGGAGAGGCCCTTGATCGTATCGACATCCCAGCAGGTTGCCTTAACGTTGAAGTCCCAGAATGCGCGTACATCCGTGCACTGGAAAATAATGGTCTGTGACAGATACGTTTTGTTAGCAATAGGATCTTCGACCGTCCTCTGAAGGTACGCGATGGTTACTAACGAAAACACAGGCAATCGTGTAAGCGGTCATGAAGACCATGACCCCAGTGATGAGCTTCTTGTAAAGCTTTTTGGAGGCGATTCGATGTAGCGACGACCCAACAGCAAGCTTGACTAAACAGATAGCAGCCAGGAAAAGGGGCTGAGAGACGAAGGCCATTTGCATCACTACCGGGTAGTCTTTGACGAAATCAATGTCTCCTACATGGCGGCCAACTCCGTGAATGACCTGCGCGATCAGGACTCCTTGACCAGCAATCGCGATGACCATCGCGGATGTCATGAACCCGTCCTTTGAGATCATTGTCAGTATATCAAGGCTAATGCCGACTTTCTATAGGAAGGGATATCACGTAAGCCCAAAAATTGCAAACTTACATCGAATCCGAAGCTGTGAATCATGCCAAGGCGCACCCAAAGGCGAGCTGCCACGACAATCAATGCCACAGAAGTGACTGTTAGTGTTGCGGCCAACACCGTGGGTCCCTCATTCTCCTCCGGGTTCGAGACGAACTCCATTCTCTGATGAAAAATGATGAATTGAAATTTGGCATCAGATGACTGAGAAAGATGTAAAGATTCGGCTTGGTTTGGAGAGGAGAGCATTGATAAAATCAGCCACTCTAGGCGCGCCATGTCTTCCGTTCTCCGGCCACACACCATAAAGTGATAGAAGGCACGAGTCTATTCCTCGAATTATCCCAATTAGGCTGACAGCAGGCTCTCAATGCCTTCTTGGCATTCCGCCTCCAGCCTCAGACTGGAATCCAGACTCGGGCTGATTGAAATGAAGCTGCAAGGGTTCGCAAACCCTCATCGGCCCATCTCTTCGCAGCAGTTGCCTTTTCAGTAAGGTCTATGGCATCGACTATTTTTGCGATAGAAAAGTACGAATACAAAAAGTCCTTCACCCGGGCTCCCAGTCATGTCAGTTCTGCATCGGAGTGTCTGCGCCGCACCCTTTTCTTCAGATGGTTGGTGGCTTTACAACTTGGCGAAAGGGAGGAAAATGTTGTGATGCTGGGATTAATAAACGGGGGTTTGAAATTCTGCAGGATGGTATGACGATGCCCCTGGCTGCGAGTTGGTTGTTGGGACTAGAATATGCATAAAGTCAGAATCTTTTCGACTCCATGGCCCTTCTCCGCCTGTTCTGGGATCAGCGCAAGCCTTAAGTCGTTGTTGCTAGAGCCGTGGGATAAATCTGCACAGCATCGGGTTCAAGGCTGCATCAGGTAAAGAGTCTTACATGGGAATCTAAAACCAACACACCAACTGGCCCGGACCGTGGGCCGTTTCTGCAACCCCGGCTTCAACCTGCATGATGAAGTCGGGTAATCCGCCGTCTTTCCCGCTGTTACGGCCTTGGAAGCCAAGATTCGCCAAACGGCCGACGGATTTTCTTCCCCGTAAAGTGGAACCAATTGCATGTTGGAACAACACATTGCTCGCGACTGAGAGATATTTCGCAGAATTCTTATTTGGGAGGTGTTTACTTGGGCCGGGTTGGTGGCGATGTAAATTGGATCTTTTTACGCGACATGATCCACCATAGAATCCCTGAATATCACGTACGGAGAGAGCACCAACAACGAAGTAGTAGGGCCTCGGTCGACTTCTTATCTTGTCACTGATGTGATTCAGTCTCTTCTGATCGGATGTAGGTCGGCGGGATGGTTATATATCTGCCACACGGCTGGCGCTTCTCCTGCAGAAGTTCTCTCCCGCACTCAGAAAGTACTCAAGCTCTGAGCCACTCGTTCTTGCGGCCTTGTTTCCTTGTCCCACACAGCCGGCCTCATCATGCACGTTCTCTCACTTGGTGTTTTCGCCCTTCAGGCGGCTTCCGCTGTTCTCGGCAACCCACTCCCTCAGACTGATGACGGGGCCGCTGCTGCTGCCGAGAATGTCGATCAGCTCGCGGCTCTCGCTCAGGCTGCCTACCAGAAGTCGGAAGAGATGATCCAAAGTGGAGAAATCCAGAAGCGTGGAAGCTCCTGCTCTCTTGGAAACATCAAAATCCGCAAAGAATGGTAAGCTTTGTCCTGGCCATGCTCGCCTTGTAATCTGAACTGCATTTAACATGAGCCTAGGGGTTCGTTACAAAGACAAGAAAAGCTCGACTACATCAAGGCCGTGCAATGCCTTCAGTCAAAGCCTGCCCTGACCCCTTCCGACATTGTTCCTGGTGCAAAGACTCGGTTCGATGACTTCGTTGCCACACACATTAACCAGACTTTCACCATCCACTACACCGGCACGTTTCTGTCCTGGCACAGACGTTTCACTTGGTTGTACGAGGAGGCTCTTAGAGAGGAATGTGGCTACAAGGGCACTCAACCTGTAAGTTGCCGGTACAAACCCATGATAGCCATCGGCTAATCAGCATGACAGTATTGGGACTGGGCAAAGACCGCCGTAACTGGTGTCGATAGCTCTCCCATTTTCGACGGCACCGAGACATCAATGTCTGGTAATGGGGAGTTCATCCCTGATCAGGAAGACATCATCCTTACCAACCCTGACGGTTCGGAAGCCGCTCGCCTTCCAACCGGAACTGGAGGTGGCTGCATTACATCCGGTCCTTTCAAGAATATGTCTGTAAACCTTGGCCCTTTGGCTCTCTCTCTTCCGGGCGGAGGCAGTGAAACAAACCCGGACGGATTCTTTGCCTATAACCCCCGCTGCCTGAAGCGCGACTTGACTACGGCTATCAACCGAAGGTACTCGAACGCCTCCGCAATCCTGCACAACATCCTGGTTCCTCAGAACGTAGGCAAGTTCCAAGTTGAGATGCAGGGAGATCCCGAGTCGGGTACCATGGGCATGGGCATCCACGGAGGTGGTCATTTCGTAAGTGGCTCCGTTCCCTCTGTTAGTCATGTCACAACGCGAGGCTAACATTCGTCAGACTCTTGGAGGTGACCCTGGAAGAGACTTTTTCGTATCGCCCGGTGATCCCGCTTTCTACTTGCATCACGCGCAGATTGATCGCGTCTGGTGGATGTGGCAGATGCTATCACCCAACGCTCGTCAATTTGCCGATGATGCCGTCATGGGAACCAACACATTCTTGAACTCGCCTCCAAGTGCCAACACAACTCTTGACGATGTTCTCGAGTACGGATACGCTGCCGGTCCTCCTATCAAAATTCGAGACACGATGAGCACTCTTGCTGGCCCGTACTGTTATATCTACTTGTGAAGAAATCGGCTTTACTTTGATTACTACTCTCATGTAACGCAAGACACTCTGCAAGTTGAAATGAAGAGTCACCAAACGGATAGTTGTCACGTTATAGATTATACTTAAAGTAGTGTTTAATATAGAAGGACACAAAGAAACCCATAAATGTAATAAAGGCCTTCAATCAGCTCGCAAGGGAAGCATCAGTCGTAAAGCAATTTGTCATTGCTTGAGCGATAGTATTAGACAACGCATATGTAATCCTACAATGTCACCCTGTCTCTGTGCTTTGATGCATGACATCGCTATGTCTCAACATCTGGTAAAAGGAATGAGCCAACTCTATCCGGAATTAGCATTGCCCTTTCTAGCACTTGATATAAATTGAACATCCTAATACGTACCCGATTAATGCATAACATGCACACATGAGTGTTCCTTTGATACCTGGCATCTTCAGGTTGCTCCGCCCATCGCTCAGCAGAAGCCGTGTGGAAAGTGCGGCTGCGCCTAAGAGGGCAGCCGCTTCAAACAAGCTGAAATCAAAAGCTGCGTCTCGGTCCATGATCCAGCCTGCTAAGATAGTTATGGGCGCTGCGCAAAGCGCGATCTGTATGGCTGACCCAGCTGCAACCGCGATGGCGAGGTCTAGTTTCTCTTTCGACGCCATCGTCACGACAGTGACGTACTCTGCCACGTTTCCAATGACCGGCAGAATTATCAAGCCGATAAAAGACTCTGACAGATGGCCTTGATGAGTTATGTCATCGATGGTTCCGACGAGAAACTCGGTGGACATTGACATCAAGGCCGAGCTTATGATTAAGGTGATGACGGAAACCGCTTTTTGTCCCAAGGATCTCCGGGAGCTCTTTTCTCGATCTCGAAGAGTTGCGACTTTCGAACGACTAGTCTGAAAGATGCGCAATCTATCTGAGAAAGACCATCGATGAGCGCCGGTAGTAGTCTGAGAGATTCTATTGAGGTGAGTAGGATCCGCAGTCGAATGACAAAGCGACTGACGGCTCAACGACTCTAAGCTATCGCAAGAGCTCTCGCGGCTGTCTCTTTGTTCGATCTTGTTTTCTTTTCTTCCGCGTTCTGATTCTCTATCCTCACGTGAGGACGCGGAACGTGAGGAATCATCAATGCTATCGAGCTCGACGAAGGTATCAGTAGCACAGCGGACTTCGTTGGTGCCATTCCATATACCCAAACGAGAGTCCTCAAGACGACGGGTCCGAGACGATGATGGAGGGTCAGGTGATACTATCGCTCTGCCATCTTCTAGGTCCGCCACATCTTGGTGTCGGATCGCAGAGATGTGTTGCTCTCGCAGTTCATGTATGAAATAAAAGATGTAAATAAACAGAACCACAAAGGATGAAGCTCTGCCCATTGTCAACATGGCTTCATTCGCGCCATCGCGTGCTTGAAACGTATGGCTGAAAGCGGCCTGGTGTTTATGAATATGGTTCTCAAACAGATGGAAGGTAGGTGTCGCTCACTCACCGGTATCAGAAGAACGAAGACGGAAACAAACAGGAGGCAGCCAAGGAGCTGAGTCTCTGAAGTATCCAAGGCCGGCTCCTGTTGCGATACTCCGCAGACACATAGAGCGGTGCCAAGAATTGGCAGTAAGTTGACAAGCATTGAACCAAGGATTGACGCTTGAACGACTTGGATCTGATTATGTTTGAGGGCGATGCTGCGGACATCAGCACGATTAAACGACTTGATGGGAGCAATAAATGGCACGCTTACATGCTGGAAAATTGTCAATTATTATCGTTTTGGTCAGCGAACTGTGGACATATGCCAGACTAACTCACAATAAAATCAGCTCCACGAGGTTTCCCATTGTTATGTTTAGCAAAGCTCCGACCGTATCGCCCGCGTCGGATGCAATCATCTCGGTAGCTCCAGTGAGCAGAGAGGACAGTGGAACCACCGCTAGGGCATTGGTGATGAATATGACCAGGGGAGCTTTATCAGACCAAAACGCCCAGACGCCGATGGGTACGAAGATGAGAAGGCAATTGAGCCACAATGAAAACATTTTCTTTCAAATTGCTTCCTTGACCTGCGGTGACTCTACAGGTTGTGGAAGAGTTCTACTTTCCAAGGGCAAAAGATCGCGTGAGATGAGACTAGCCTCAGAGCCGGCAGCTTCGGAAAAGGTCAGATGTCTGCTGCCCCCGGGCATCCGAGGGTACATGTACACCGCGTGCAAGGGCATTTTCCCAACCAAGCATAAACATGAGACGAACTATATCCGCAAGAACCACAATGAAGAAAATGTCATCAAATGCTTACTTTCGGTCTCGAAATGAGGGGAGTGTGGCGACACGAGCAGACTAGCACCTGAGTGGACGGAGTGTTGTAGCGGCCTCAAGATACAACCCAGAGCGGTTGCTGCCTTTCAAAATTTCCCTCGTACATCTGAACATCATGGCCTTTCGAAAGCCAGTTATTTGTGTGTTTGTTGGGTACGAAAAGCCATCGTATGAGGGATTTTGAGATGCGGCACATGGCCCGTGAGGGGCGTGTTTGATGAGAGCGATTTTTGACGGAGGCCTCCAGCTACGTGTTCGAGCGACTACAGTTCAGCTCTGCCATATGCCTCCCCATGTGGCTTACCAGGTTCAGTCTAGTGATATTCCTAGGCTCCGCGTGTCTCAACGATCCTAGAGATTTGCTTATCCATGCGGCGATGGATCCTATTGCGGGACATTCTACAAGCTCGGGAAGATGAAGACAAGCTGGTAAATCTCCAGCGGCCGGATCTCTCACAGTCATGTAGATAAATATCCCACAACCATTAGGATGACAATGCTCCTGCGGTTGTGATGTAGATCTACATTTCACTTCACGTTACATCATAGACCATTCCGCGTCAGCCGTTGGAGCACAAGAGAAGCTGTGCGTCGTCCTCATCTTTCCGAGAAAACCCACACCCGTACCGCACTCTTGCCCACAGGTACGTGTAGGCTTTGCAAAGTTAACTGAAGAAGCATTTTATATTTACAGTACTACAGAACAGGCCTGTTCTAATTTGAGGGGGGGGGGGGGATGTAAGCATCTCAGGATACCTTTGGCAGTGGTTGCCAACCATGATGTGGTACGCCCCAAGTGTTAGACCATGAACCATTGAATGTGTCCATCATGAGATGAGAACGAAGAGAAATCTGTACAATAGAACAAACAGCGAGAAATTAGAGCCACAAAATCATTGAGTTGTCGAACACTCCGCCCCGTCTGCATCGCAAATACTCTCGGAGTGTTGTGCCAAATATGTTGAATATTCCTTTACACACCCAAGGCTGAGACAGTGCCGGAGACTTTTGCCTTCCTCGGCAGTTGCGCGAATTTAGTGTTCAATGCCCTTCAGAAGCTCTTCAAGGCTCCCAGATGTGACGACGGTCACCTTCTCACATAGCTCGGGAGGGAATACTTCCTCATAAGCTTTGATGGTGGAAAGTCAGTGTCTTGGTTTCTCAATCCGCACTATTAGTCGGTGCCTACAATCAATTTTCCAGGCTTGTTGGAACAGTCTTCCTTCAATGGTACATGTCGGATCACAGAGGCGGCCAGCGTGGTAGGACCCCAGTTGAATATCGTCGGGGTCAACGGCGCATTCTCGCGAAACTGATGAAGATTATCTAAAGTTCGCGGTAAGCATCAACAGCTGGTTTTTCATGTAAACTACCAGAAGCAAATACCTTCAAAACGAGTGACAACGTCCAAAATAGGCGCGCCCCTTTGGCCGAACCCCACGCCAGTCACATCCCAGTGGGTGCCGTTCATTCGGTCAGCGATATATGTGTTTGGTTGGTCCCGGCCTTGAAACAAAATTGTGACGAATGTTTATCAGTACCTAAGTGATCAGCACTTGGTGGTACGAAAGCATTGTACTGTGAACATTGACGCCGGACCTGACAAGTGCGGCGGTGTCATTCCGGAGTTCCTTGTCAACATCAACAGGGTCATAGTGCTCCGCACTCATGTATGGATGATAGGCAGGAAGTCACCTGTGTGTTGTTAGTCGAACGCTCTACTTTTTGAGGGATCTATGCGGTTCTCACGTATAGAAGACGTTCACTTCACCGCATCCAACGTTGGAAGGGTAGGTGATTTGGGAGAGTCGGAGCGGTCCCGAAGATGCAGTCGTGCTCCCCAGAAGCACGAAGGTGAAGATGGTCTCCAAAGAGTATCTCATGTTGAATCTCGATTCTGTGAGGGTGCTTACTGTAGCTTTGACAGTTTGATGATGATAAGTTGAAGTCAGACGGTGGAGTATAGTAGTTGATGATGATCACAGCTCATCAAGCACCGATTTTAAGGATGACAGCCACGCTTTTGTAGTCAAGTATCTTTACTCCATCCGTTGACTATGTTAATTCATCGTCAACTGATGGCATGCCCCTTTCTTCCAGCCGATGAGTAATCGGCACAGCTTGAATCGCGACGTCGCGAAATCATTGCACAAAAGTTGTCAGCCTTGTTAGGCAGACTTACAAGCCTGATACGTAATAAGTCGCCTGCATATCCCGGAAGAGAAGTTCAGTGTATCTTGTTCATGTCAAAGAACCTCTACCCTGGTTGATTTGCAGAGTGGCGCACCCACGTCCTAGAATTCTGTGTGACCTAAGCGCTCTGCAATATCTTTATGACGCCATGGAGCCTGATTCAGTGTCGATCCAATCAGGTGTTGTATTCAGTTTTAATCAACTCATTCAAAGGATTGCAACATTTGAGCAAGTCTAGAGTCAGTAGCTAGAGTGATATGGAGCCCTGAGGGAGTACCTAAGCAAAGTCATGAAACTATCCTCAACTCGGCAGTTGATGGCTGTTCTGTCCTATCTCCAGATATTTTCACAAGGGTCTTCAAGCGATTAAACGGTTGAATGGGCCCCCTAGTCAATAAGACATCCTGCTCATATTGTTATAGGCACTTTTGAACCGTCTACAGCCCCGTAGGCCGCATCCTTTGGAGGTCATTAGGCAACACTGTGGGACTTCCGAAACTCTACCGGGACCGAGTCGGGAACCTTTCATGACCGAGTGCTACATACCCCGTTGCATCGTAAAACTTCAAGGCCCTCGCTGATCGATTGAAGAGAGCTGCTACGATAGACCAAGTGGATTTGTAAGATTTTGTAAGAGTCCTCTAATGAAAAGGAAATGATCCTGCAAAATGAGACCACTACACCATTTGTAATCGATCCAGCTCCACGGAGTTCGAGAGCAAGCATGAACGTGCTGTCTTTCTTGGGATCTCTCAAGGGAAGAGAACGAAATTGACGGCCTTCACAAAGTGAGGGTATAGAGTCAATCCATAGTCTGTTCGACGAGGAAGTATTTTCTACGTCTGCTCTCACATTCTGCGAACAACTACGTGCGTTCCTTCACCATGCTTGTCCAATCTCTATTGTGGTTGATGGTCACAGCTACTGGTTGCCAGCGATCTGATCGAGCTACACTGATTTTCGACTTTCCATCGAACCCAAAAGTCCAAAGATTCAAGGTTCACGTCCTTGAATCCTTTTTGTATGATACCTTGCAGGAAGTACGATCTTATAGACCTACACATGGCCTGTCTTCAGAATGGGATACTGAAGGGCCTCCCGCTGGGAATCTGACCGGCGTTGCGGAGTACTGGATCAACCGATACGATTGAAAGAAAGTTGAGAAAAGGCTCAACGACGATTTCGATCACTATGCAACGACTGTTCCGGGCGGCGAGAGTTACCCATAGCCTGTACCGCTGCACCTTATCCATCATGTTTCCGCCAACTCCAATGCCACACCACTACTCCTCCTTCACGGATGGCCATCGACAAATCTAGAGTGGTCAAAAGTCATCAAGCCTTTGTCAAAAAATTACGAATAGTCATTTCACATCGTCGCACCGGATCTACCTGGCTTTGGATTCAGTCCGGAGCTAGAACACCCCGGGCTAGGATTGCGCGAAATGGGATCAGCCTTCGACACATTGATGCACCAGCTCGGGCACGAAAAGTAAGGAATAGTCACTACCGACCTCGGATGTGTCACCGGAATGTGAATGACCATGGATGTCCGTGATAGTATACTTGGTCACATGTGCGACTTCTTTATCGCTGAGCCAACCACTGAAGACCGGGCTCGACTGGGGCAGAATCACACCACCGACGAGGAAACTCTTTACATGAAATCTATCGACAAATGGTTTAGCTCCCATTGGGCACATTCCGTAGTTCATAGATAGAAACCTCTGACTGTATCCCAAGCTCTGGCTGATAGTCCGATTGGTCTGCTTGGCTAATTCTGGAATATCAACTACGCCGCTTCCAATGGCTACCCTTACACCGAGGAAGAGCTCATCACGGATGCGATGATGATGTATATACCGGGGCCATACGCAGGTATTCGAGCTTACCTGCGATTCCAGGTTTGCCATCCCGTTTTGAGGGTGATTCTTGCAAGCGTCGTAATCATTGACACCTATGCTAGTCACAATTTCCCCACACAGACGTGCCCACGGGGGTCTCTCAATGGAGTATGGGCGATGGCCCGTTCCCTGACGTTGGCAACTTTGGGTTCGCAGTAAGTTCTATCAATTGTGGAACACGTGTGTCCAGACATCAAAACTGACTTTCGACAGCCAAGAGATTGGGTCGAAAGATCCGTTAAATTGGTGTTTCTCCAGAGACATCGAGTTGGCGAGCATTTCCCAGCTGTCAGTCACCCCGATCTATGGATGGGTGACGTGCGGGCTTTCTTTTCCGCCTTACGCGAGTCGTCTTCAGTGGAAAAAGATGAGCTGTAGACCATTGTCAGTGAGGCCGTATAAACACCACGACGAGGAGACTCGTTGATTGGCTGTGTGTAAAATTTAATGCACATGTTGAACGCGATCCAAAGAGTCTCTAATGAAACACGATCTTCGCGAATGTATGAAGTCCTTGTTTTTATCGCATAGTCTAGACCGAAGTCTTTGGCATCATACCCTATTATTAGCCTTCAACGGTTCATCTACTCACCTGTAAAATGGTCCCGCTGCGTGGGTGAAGCGCT